TTGTTTTGGTTGTTGTTTACTTAAGGTCTATTTCTGTAGCAATAAAAAACCTCTTCTCTTGAGGCCTTTTCTCCAGAACCCTGAGATGTGGATTCCATAATGTTATAATGAATTTAAGCTATAAAGCCTAGCAGAATGTTCTCGGACTTTAAAAAACTGTCTAATAGTATGATGTAGTAAAATACTGTTTAGATTAAATTAACCTGTGAAGCATTCAAATGAAGCTAAAGGCATAAATGTGAAACAGTGATTATAAGCATGGGAAGGTAAACTGTGAATCTTCATTTCCTACATTGATTTTTCTGTACAGATCAATATGTTGTATTTAGGTGGTACTGAAATGGTAACCTACTTAAATTATCAGATTTACATCAAAAATGAACATTTCACAAAAGCACTTTAAGGCAAGATAAGGGTTAATAGTCTAGGCAATGTAAATGATTTCTTGGCACCTATAATTCAAGTAACAGATAATTCAGAGATGAGGGTTCAATGCTATATGAGAATTACATTTAAATTTGAGGGCATTTTATATAAAGCAAAAATTATAGACCTAGTAAATTTGGCATAATCATTATCTTTAATATTTCTTCTAGAAACAGGTGATGTTTGTATTCATGATATAAAAACTTTTACATAGAATTTACTGCCTCATTAAGAAAATGTTTCTATTATATTAGTAACTCAAAATAAATTAACACTTCGAAAACTTGCTTTACCCTGTTAAATTTAGGCCAGATAAAGCACTCCCCAAAGTTTTTACTACAGACAACTGCCATTGCTTCTAATGTAAAATTTTGTTTAACCCATTATGTCCCATCATTCTATATACAGGGCACCTATAAAAACCTATAGAATTTTATAGGAGCCCTATAAAACTCCTTCATTTTTAGGTGTCCTGTATATAGGATGGGATATAATGGGTTAAGAGAATATACTTTCACAAATGCCCCTATTGTGTCTTACGTAGGCAACTTCTAATCATGAGATCTCTGAGGTAGTGTTCACTATTCTCCAGATCAGCGTGTGAATATAAGGAGACATACCATGTTAAAGTGTTGTAAGCAATGATTCAGTGTAGTGTGTAGCCTGAATCTATCCAGAAAGGCTGTAACCAATTTTGACAATGTTATGGATATATAAGCACTGAAAAATAAACCAAAGAACCACAGTTTATTTTATCCTTAACTTTTATAAGGTATGTCAAGGATAACTTTTCAGTTTTCCCAAAAGATTGATATTTCAATATTTTGAAAACATCAGTGTTAATTTTGAGTTGACAGATGTAACCTAACAAACTACCATTATGTTTGGTACTAAGGAATATACCTTTCAATAAAATTATTGAAACGCAATCCTTTGCTGGGTGGTTTTGTTCCTTTTCTGATTATTTTAGCATAGTAATAAAATGATAAAAATGATAAAAGATCTGTCTCTATTTAGTATATTGAAATTTTTTACTAAAGATACATGGAAGCAGAAATTAAAATCTCTTTTAATGTACAGCCATTACCTAATTGACACTTTGTAATATTTTGATACAAGTTAATGTTTAATGCATTAAAAAGATGTTTGTGCAATATTAATCACTTTTGTCGTTTAGATTCATCACTGCTACGGATGTAGATTCCACCCACCTGAAGCTTTTTGGTTCTGAGAAAAAAGAAAAAGGTTTATTGCTTTGCAGGCAACATGGGACTCCTGTCCCGAAGACTGTGATTCCCCCACCCCAAGTTTTGTGCAAACCCTCTCAACCTAATTAACTAGCATTCCAGCAGCAAAGTGACTAATTATGTTAATCCTGGTTGGATCAGTTGGTGATTATTGTTCAATAGAAACAATATATGATCTCAAATTATTAATATTTAACTACAGCTAGTAAGATATCTTATAATGTGGACATTGCCAGGAATTACTGATCAAAGAAAAAACTCTTTTGCACTTGACTCCTATTAGACATTTAAAAAATCTTTAATAATGTTATTTTTTAAAAAGTTACCTGATTGTTTTTCTAATTATGAAACATGCTGTCTAAATTGAGATATACTACACACTACTATCCTTAGAGCTATTTCTGTGCTAACTTTTTTTTATAAAGTCATTTTTATTTATTCTTTTATTTTGTAGTGCTGGGGATTGAACCCAGTGCTTTGTGCATGCTAGGCAAGCGTTCTACCACTGAGCTACATTCCCAACCCTTAACTAATATTTTAAAGCTGGCAATGGCAGTTTTTGTTGTCAGGTACTATTACTAGATGTTTTATATGAATCATCATGTGTAATTCTCTAAAGTGAGTGAGGCCATCCAAATTTACAAATGAAGTAGAAGCACAGAGAAGCTAAATGATTTGCCTCTGGTCACTTACTTGGTACTTGGAGGGGGAATTCAAATCCAGGCAGTTCTGACTCCAGAGGCCATGTTCTTACCATACTCTTACCTCTTACATTACCTTGTAATATAGATTAATTGTAAATAGAGGATTCATTGGACTCATGTGAAACTGTAATTTCTAACAAAACTAATTCTAGCCACATTAACTTCAGTGTTGTTATGATCATGACAATAATAATAGAGAATTTTACAGTAATTAATTTTTGTAAGATGWCATTGCTTATACATTGAGAAATTGTGACACAATTTTAGATAAGCCAAAACAGTAAACAAAATAATTGAACTACAAGATAAAACAATTTTTATGTCAATTCAACAAATTATACTGAGAAGCAACCAAAATTACTAAGGATAAAGGACATACAATGATAAAGCAATTGACTGACTGAAATGAAAATCCTAAAGTTGTAGACACAGAATATCACAACTTAAAAATACATCAATCAAACTGACAACACTGAAAAGTGAAATGGTCAAATCACAGTTAGGGAATTAAAACATTCCTGTCAGTAATATATAGAATTATTGGAAAATTAGCAAAAATGTAGAACTGAATAAAACCACAAACCAAATCTGACTTAAACCATCTTAAAAATGCTTCCTAAGCATTCTTTTCAAGCACAAATAGTCACACCAAGGAAGACCCTTTCATGGATCTTAAAAAGAATCTTAACAAATTTAAAAGATCTTAAATAATAAAATGTTTTCTGAAGATAAAATAGAAATCAATAGGGAAATCTGCAAGTGCTTGAAAATTAAAGATTAATGATTCATGGCTCTAAAAGGAAGCCTTAAAAGGAATTTGAAAATAATTTAAACAGTGTAAATGAAAATAACACTGTGGAGTGCAACTAAACTAATACTCAGCAAATTACAGCATCAACTGCTTCTATTGAATAGGAAAATGGGTCTAAATCAATAAGCTTTAACTTTAGGTAAAAAATAAAAAATAAAACCCAAAACAAGCAAAAGGAAGAAAAAAAAACAGAGAGGAATTGATGAAATTCAACACCAACACTAGACAAAAATTAACAAATTTTAAAATCAGTTATTTGAAAAAAGTAAAAACGCTGGGGCAGTGGCACTTGCCTATGATCCCAGCAATTTGGGAGACTGAAGGATTACAATTTCCAGGCCAGCCTCAGTAACTTAATGAGAACTTGTCTCAAAAAATAAAAAAGGCTATAGTTCATACTAGTTGAATCCCYAGTACTAAAAATGAAAAGAATAAAACTGATAAACATTAACGACATTAAAAGAACACAAAGAAATATGAACAAATACAATCACAGTAAAATGAACCAATTCTTTATTTTTTTGTTTTGTACTAGGTATTGAAGCCAGGGATGCTCTACCACTAAGCTATAGCCCCAGCCCCTTTTTATTTAAGTTGCAGAGGTTGGCCTTGAATTTGCAATTCTCTTGCCTCAGCATCTGGAGATGTTGGGACTACAGGTAAGCACCACTGTGCCAGGCTTAAACCAATTCCATGAAAGACAAGAAGTACTAAAAATTAACCAAAATGAACTGGATAGCTTAAATAAATTATATAATTACTTTTAAAAAATAAATGCTTATTTAAAATCTTTCTGGCAAATTCATAAAGGATTAAGATTCTACAGTGTCTCTTTCAGAAAATTAAATCTAGATGGATCAACTGAACATACTCCATGACCAAGTCTGGGGTGGGGGGTGTGGAGATAAACAATTTCAAAATTTGAAAATCAATATAAAGCCACCATATTAACGTTCTAAACAGGGTAAAAACATTTGAGCAAAGCAAAATCATTTGAGAAAATTCAACATACTCTGATAATAAGCTCAGCTAACTAGAAATCAATAGGTGGGAACCTCCTCAATCTGATGAAATTATGTATGAAAAAACTACAGCTAATTGGACACAGTGGCTCCTGTCTATAATCCCAGCAACCCAGGAGGGTGAGGAAGATTGAAGTTAGAAGCTAGCCTCAGCAACTTAGTGAGGCATTGTCTTAAAATTAAAAAATAATAATAATATAAAGCTGTAAATGTATAGATAGAACTGGAAAGGTAGCTCAGTGGTAGAGTACTGCCCCCCTCACTCTGTCCCCCACCCCACTGTTGGTTTAATCTCCAGTAACAAACAGAACAAA